TCGAAATGTGTTAGGAGGCAGGACCTTTCAAAGTGATTAGGTCATGAGGGTGACCCTTTGTGAATGGAATTAGTGCTCTTATAAACAGAGGCCCTAAGACGGCTCCTGCATCCCTTCACCACCTGAGGACACAGTAAAGACATGACCATCTATGAACTACGGGGTGGGGAGGGGGGTCCTCTCACCAGAGACTGAATCTGCCAGCAGCCTGATCTTGGACTTCTCAGCCTCCAGAATTGGGAGGTATAAACTTCTGTGGTTTATAAGCCACCTAGTCTATGGCATTTTGTTACAGCAGCCCGAATGGACTAGGACAGTGTGTCATGCTGACCATCACACTGGAGGAGCAGGCAGCTCCAGGACAAAACCCCACCGTCATAAAGGTATTTCACTCACCTTGCTGTAAATAGCAGGCTGCCTAATTCAGAATGTTCAGATCTTTAGTAATTACCATTTTAAAGAAAATTTTTATTAAGTAAACAAGGGATGGCAGAAAAAGAGAGAAATATGTGACACAACAGAGGTATATTATCTTGGTTTCCAATCCTAACTAAAGAACTCACCACATCTACCTGGAATACAAGACACAGCCTCAGACTCGAGCTTCCCTCGTAGGGTCTGAAAAGCCAACCCAGACTTTAATCACCCCAGTAGGTCCTTTCAAAAGTCCTTGAAAGGTCCTTTGCAAAATCCAGCAATAAGTTGGTTTCCCAAAATGTATGGGTATGTGTACAACTAGTAAATGGACCTGTTACACCTTGACTCTTTCTTTTAAAATATCACTTAAACCTCTAGGACAATTGCATATAAAAACTGACATGTATTGTTTCAGTTAACTAATTCCAGACTCCCTTCACCCAGATTCTAGATCCTAGAGTATTTCATTATGTTCAATCTTAGACTATATACTGACCATCTTTAAATGACAATAAATCAAATCAAATCAAAACATGCTTACTGACTGCCTGTAATAAACAGAACTTATTATGGGTGCTATAGATGGAATACAATATAAAACTGTCACTGAAGAGTTTATAACTTCGTCACCGATGTACACTGGAATCCTCATTCCTTAGGGCTGGTAATCAGTTTCTTCCCACTCCAAATGACCAGCCTGATAGGATCTCTTGATTTGAGTAATTGTTGGTACAAAACTTTTTTCATATGACAACTGTTCTTCACCTGATGGGACTGGGGTTTGAACTCAGGGCTTCATGCTTGCAAAGTAGGCACTCTACTGCTTGAGCCACACCTCTAGCCCTGACCACTGTTCTTAATGCCCCTCCATGGCCCTCACTGCACATGGCCATCCACCCATACACACTGGGCTTGAACTCAGGACCTTGTGCTTGCTAGGCAGTTGTGCTATCACTTAAACCACACCTCCAGCCCTTTTAACCTTAGTTATTTTTGAGATAGGTTCTTGCTTTATGTCAGGGTCAGTCTAGACTGTGATCCTTCTGATCCCAGCCTCCTGAGTAGCTGGGAGGACAGGTGTGCATCACCATGCCCAGTTATTTGTTGAGATGGGGGTCTCTCAAACTTTTTGCCTGGGCTTGCCTTGGAGATTTGCCCAATCTCTGCCTCCCGAGTAGCTGGGATTACTGGCTTGACCCACTGTGCCCTGCTTGCATGCCACCATCTTTAGTTACCATCACAGTCACACTACTGTTTGATAACTTAAGGTGTGGCCTTTCATATAAGGAACCTAACATTTCAAACGATCTTGTCATTAATATTAACTTTCATTGCAACTAATTGTCTTCAAGAAGTCAAACAAGGCAGGTCACAGAGAGTAGAGTGGAAATGTGTTGTTCTTTCTGGACTTCCACATTTTTAGTGTACAGTAGTTTCCTCTTTATTCACAGTTTTCTTCCTCAGGTTTCAGTTACCTGTGGTCAACCACAGATGGAAAATATTAAATGGAAGATTCCAGAAATTAAATAATATGCAGGTTTTAAATAACTTTTTTCATAGTATATTGTCATAATTGTCCTTTTTTATTATCATTCATTATTACTGATCTTTTACTGTGCCTGATTTATAAATTAAGCTTTGTTATGACTACCTGGGCATAGGAACAAACATGGAACTCACAGGATTTGGTACTACCTATGGTTTCAGGCATCCCCTGCAGACCACGGGGCTCCTGTGGCTGCTGGCTTTGCTGCTCTGAGGTATCGACTCGGTAGTCAGTTCCGTTATGCTTCCTGGAAATTCATATTTTTGCATTTGCAGCTACACAAAGGTGGTAACTACTGTACCCGCCAGGTGTAGGATGGCAGCCTGGTACCAATACAAGACGTCACATCTCCCTCCTTCCAGACAGAAGAAAATCTATAAACTTCTCTTCCTTCCTGGGTGTTGTACTGGGGACAACTCACTGGAAAAATCTGCTTTTTAAAAAGTGACAACTGAACATATTCATTGCACCATCTCATGCTAATAGGGCTGCATTTCTTCTTTGCTAAATGGATTGCAATTTAATTTTGGGAATTAGTAACATCTCATCATTCAGATAATGGAAGTTGAACTACTAAGACTGCAATTTAATTTTGGGAGAACATTAATTTTTACTCAATAAAATTTGTGTATGTTTAATGAATAACCATCCTTCCCAACTTAGTTCAGTCTTCCATTGAGCGGCTGTAGGTAAGGGTCACACCAACAGATAAATACCTTGTTTTGCGAATGCAAATCCATGCTGTGTAACATGACCCTGGATGAAAACTCAGAAGGTTGGGCCGGTGTCTCAGCCCCCAGGTGGGTGTGGGGTGTTTTCACACATGCCCTGCTGCATAGAATCTGCTGCCTTTCAGAGAGCTGAGAGTGCGGTCACTGGGGTCCTCCATGAGGGTCAGTGCTCCAGAAGAAGGCAGTGGTCCTGTGGGCAGCAGACACAGGACCCTTTGTTTGAGGGAAACTTTTTTTTTTTTTTTCTCTAGCAGTACTAGGGTTTGAATCTGGGGTTTCACACTTGCAAGGCATGTGCTCTGCCACTTGAGCCATGTCTTTCTGTTCTGGTTATTTTGGAGATAGGGTCTCACTTGGGCCATGATCCTCCTTGTAGGTTTCCCACCATTTCTGGTGTGTGCCACCATGTCCAGCTTTTTTCTGCTGAGATGGGGTTTTGCAAACTTTTTTGCACAGGCTGACCTGGAACCACGATTGAGGGAAGTTTTGGGGTGTGTGTGTGAGTGTGTGTGAAGGGAAGAACCAGGGTCCCAGAGTTCTTTACTGCACACAAATGTACTAAAGCTCACTTCTTTCTAAAGAGAATTCTGCTGAATGCTTCCTTCTCAAATGGACTTGCTGAAGGGTCCCAAAGAACAAATGAAAATATATCCCATGCTCAGATGCTGTAAACCTGACTACGAGGAGGATGTAAGCTACCATTTCTTAATCTTCCTACAGCTCTGGTCTAGAAGGTTCTTGAGAGAGTAAAAGGGCAAGTTCTACAGTACTCTCTGTATCAAAGTGCTGGGGTCAGAATGTGGTTAAAACAAGTGATTTTTTCCTCCCTCGCATTCTGCTTTTGGAAAAACAAAGTGATTCTTAAACTTAGAAATCTTTAGTAACTTAGACTATGGTGTGACATTGCTTTTGTTGTTATAACTAAGCCCATACCTGCCACTCAAACCATTAGTGACCAAGAGGTGTCATCATTCAGCAAAAGCAGTCCAGTCATAAGAACTGGCGTGGCAGCTAATTTTAACTAATGGGTCCAATGAATGATGACACTCTCATAATCTGTGGAAATAGGCCTTATTCATTTTCTTGGCAAATGAAAAACACAGCATGTGACACAAAAGGAGCAGTGAAGAAAGCAAAGGAACACGTGAAGTTGTTTTATAAGATCCCAGTTCAGCTTTAAGTGTTAGAAGCCCGTAAAGATGATCGTGGGTCACTTCCAAAGGCTGGTGGACTCCAGCAAAGGTGTAAAGGCATGCCTTTTTGTTTATTTAGGGCACCTACTTACTGTGACAAAGCAGAAAGTGAGAGGAGAGGGCAAACCAACATATAGATACAAATGGGGTGGGGATAGGACCAGGCCTGACCATTGCTGACAGAGCACCACACTCTCCAGAAGCCCTAACAGGCCAGAGTGACTTGAGTTGACATACCACCACACTAAGAAAGTTGTCTGAGAAGTCTCAAGTTTGGCTAAAAAAACAAAGTGGGGGTGTAGCTGGCAGAGTGGCTCAAGTGGTAGAGCATCTGCCTAGCAAGCACAAGGCCTGGAGTTCAAACCCCACTACTGCCCCTCCCGCCCCATGCATGCGTATACTCGCACACACAGCTCCTGAGGGCTAAGGGCTGTGCAGTGTCAACTCAGGCCAACCTGAGCCACAGGTTAGCTGTGGACCATCTTCCATGTTCTCAACTTTCAAAACGAAGTCAGCTAACTGGTGAAAATTTAAAAAGCACTTTCTTTTAAACAGTGTCTTCTGAGTAGAACCCAAACTTCATACAAACTTCAGCCTCTCTGAACTGGACCCCAGATCCCTGGAGACAGCAGGGACTCTACCAAATGCCATGACCTGCCCTTTGCCCTGCATGTGCCAAGAGGGCTGAGGGAACAGACATTAGAATGAGCTGGGTAAGGCTGCCCTGGGGCTGGGTGGCAGTGCAGAGGTATGGGAACTGAGGGAGGTGACTCTGGCACAGCAGCAACAGGGCTGAGAACAGAGAGGGCAGGGCAGAGATGGGGGTGGTGGGGAGCAGAGCGCAGAGCTGACACCAGAGACTAGACCACTAAGAGACATAAGCTACAGCAAGCCTGTCCTTGGGGAGGAGGCCACTGATACTGCCATCTCTCCAGAGGGTTCAAGGCTGTCTTGCATCAAGCGGTTTGAGGAACAAGACACCCTGATTCTGTTTCTTACCGCTGCAAAACCCACAGTGAGGGCTTGACTTAGCAGCAGCACCCAACGATGCAGTTCCCTAAAATAAATAAATAAATAAATAAATAAATAAATAAATAAATAAGCACTCGAATTCACTAGACCGCAGGGCTCCTCAAAAGCTTTTATTTTCTTTTTTGACCAGCACATTGACTGGTAGACAGTGTCAGGTAGGCTTTTAAATAACTGATTTGTAACACTGGGGGTTTCATTTCAGTGTTTCAGAAAGCATTGTTATTCCTGGAAAGGATTTCTTCCCCCATGACTCTGGATAATAGAGGTTTTGTCCTAATTTGTGGAAGCCACCTCAGTCAGTCAGCAGAACGTCTTAGATGAACACTTATGTGCTTTGGAAGAGCAGTAAAAAAAATTCTCAAGAAATTCAAGAGTTCTCATAATTGCTGGGAAGACGGTGGCTTCTGCAGCCCAGGGCAAGTTCACAGTAGTCAGAGGACACAGAACGTGTGCTGTGTCCCTCCCCAGCCAGGGAGCCAAGGATCTCTCCCCCCGCTGATTCCTGCCAGTCTTTGTGTTTTTGAGTCTTCGGCAGAGGGCTAACCAAGAGAATGGGCCCAAGCATGCATCTCATTGGCCTGGGCCTCCAGCAGCTGGCATAGTGACTGCGCTGTTATCCTGGAAACATCTCGATGAGTTCCACCAAACAGAGCAGCAGAGAACCTGAATCAGGCATTCGAGGCCATCATTAAAGGAGCAGACCCTCCTCCTTCCACCTCATCACCTGCTATTCCATGTGCAGTCTACATGCACAGGGTTTTTACAAATTAAATTACTTTCTTAAAATACAATAAAACATCATTCCATACAACTCTTTGAAAAGTCTTTCCGATTCCATCCTGAAAATTAACTTACAAGATGTTGTGCAAAGATGAACACTGACTTCAAATAAATAGGAAAGAAAAGTGGGAAGAACTAAAACATTTCTTGTTTTGTTTTTTAAATTAAAAGTTTAAAACGCCAGCTGCACTTCAAAGTATTTGCAGGATGAAATGCATCAAGAAGGCTATTCAAAACAGCCCTGAGTGTCCCAGTTGCATTTCCGAGTGAGGTCTGCTGTGTTCAGAATTCACAATGGATGCCGCCACTGAGGTCCTTCACCACTCCCTCTTTGATCAGGTGCAGGAGGAACTGGGTCTCTGTGGTCACATTGTGCATGGTCTGCCAGTCCATGGCGGCCATACACTGATTGCCAAAGTAGTGCAAGGGCGTCCTGGGCTGACTGAGATCATATCCGAAGCCTGCCAAGCTGACTTCATCACACAGGTGCGTGGCTAAGACAACAGCAATGATGCCCATTGTGGGGACGTTCTGAAAAAGAGCAAGGACTAAAGTTTAAAAGTAATGCCCAAGTCCACCAATTCACTCCTTTGCAGGTACTGTACGTGCTGTGCAGTCACAAGAGGCGCACCTGACACACCAGACAGTTTTACCTATCACAGAATTTTAAGTCTAACTGTTCATGCAAGTTAGAAATCTCAACTCTAACACATGGTGTGATGTGTACCCTGTTAACGCACCCTCAAGAGACAGCCAGACAGCTCTTATATCACAAGAAAGGTGTTCTTTCTAAAGCGTCTACCCACTGGTCCCTCACACAATGGCAGAAGCACAAAGCAAGCCCATTTCCTTTCTTGCAGGACAGCGGTCTCTGGGGTCTGCTCCAGGATGGGTGGCCAGGGAACCCTCCAGTCCTTCCCAGGGATGTTTTTCTGGAGCTCAACCCTCCCCAAGGACTGGGACCCTTAGCTTTTGCTAATGCATATAATAAATGCATTATAAAGTGAAAAGTAAAGTCTTATGTGGACTCCCCCTTGGGAGGGGCCATTCTCCAGCTAGTGTCCCTCTCCAAGCATGTCCTATGCGTGCACACACTCGTGCATACATACGCCCACGCACTTCCAGTTTTTATATGTTGTGGACATGTTTTATATCCATTAGGATATAAACATGCAATATTTATATTGCATTGACTGCATCATGGTTGGTTTTAAACAATCTCTTGATGAATAGTGTGGCTGGTTTTAGTCCTTTGCTATTAATCCTATGATGGACCAGAATATGAGAGGTTCCACATTTCTCTAATTTCTTCAATATCAAATTTTTACAGTAAAATTGCTGGGTCAAAGACCCAATTTTATCTGTCTATCGATAGATAAAATTTTTCTTTCTTTCTTTCTTTTTTTTTTTTTTTTTGAGAAAGAGTCTCCCCATGTAGCCCAGGCTGACCTTGAACTTGCAATCCTTCTACCTTAAATCCTAAGTGATGGGATCACAGGTGTGTTCCACCATGCCTGGCCCAGACTATTCATATTAAAATTGATTTATATCATTAAACTATCCTCCAGAAAAAGTGCCAGCCTCTTCTACCTGCAGAACTGCCAAACAAGGACATTAGCGACTTTTAAAATCTTTACTAAGAAAGTGAGCAAAAAATGTCATTGTGACTCTCCTTTGCTTTTATTTGATTATTGATGATGCTGACTATGGCTCGTCTTTTTCTTTTGGATTTAGAAGGAGCTCTTTGCATTTGGGGAGTGTTTGTTCCATCACACACGTGCTAAGTTTTGTTTAATAACGATTTCTCCACAGGTCTTAAGAATTTTAAAGACACAGGTTTAGCTGCTCAGATCACAAAGGCACAAGTAGCAACGCCATCCCACGCCACCCCTGCCAGCAGCACGTTAACTGCAGGTTCATAACCTGGTGCACTGAACAGCCTAGAGCACAAAGGTTCTCAAATTAGGCTGCAAAATAAAATCATCCTGGGAATTTTGAAGATCCCAATGTAACATACAGACCAATTAAATCAGAGCGTCTGGGATGGGGCCCAGGCATCGACTGGACTTCACTTACCACCATCATCCGAAAAGTGAGCACAAATAGCAATGCTCACCTGAGGAGCCCCCAGAGCTAAATGTAAGAACAAAGTGCCTTCCGGTGTCCTGCAGTTAAACGGAATCCTGGAGTAAGAATGCCTTAATGAATGTCTCAGTGTCACGAGCATTTAACGTGCGGACTCCACTGAAGACGGGAAGAAGGCTAATTATACCATGAAGAGCCCTGAAGCCAAGGTATGGAGTGATAAAGGTGGGGTGTTCTGATCAATGACTGGGCTTCTCCACCTGAGATGCTCTGGGGATACAGTTAAGCTCACACGTCTCCCCTCGAACACAGAGAAAACAATTAACTCTGAATAGTGACAAACATACCTTATCTCGGCCCCAGAATCGTGACTGAGGCTCAGAGTATTGGAGGATGTCAAAGGCGGTCTCTTTGATGATAACTGGATTCAAAATTCTGAAATGTTTTGGCTGCAGTGGGATTTTTTCTGCCACCCGCTTCCAAAAGAAGAGTCGCACCCAAAATGGCTAAGGAAAGACAGCAAGCAATCATTAGGGATGTTTAGCACAGGGTGAGGAAGCATTCCCTGATAATTAGGTCAAGGTCATGAGCACAGCAGCAGGTAGCCCTGTGCCCTGCATCCTGCAGCAGCAAAGTCATTTATGTCTGCGGAAATCCAGCACCTTGACTCAAAAGTTAAGTCTGAAGGACACAGTTTACAAAGGTGGCACTGGAAAAGGGCAGAAACTGTAGAACCAGTTCTTGTTTGTTTGAGGAAGAAACCTCTCAGGCAATGGCCTGAGTCAGAAGACTTATTACCATCTACAGCCCTCATTCTGCCCAGGGAAGGCTAAGGGTATCAAATGCTGTGAGCGCCCTGTCCAGGGGGCCCTGCCTTACCTTTGCTCTCCACCGACTTTATTTCCTAGTGTGGTGAAGTCGCTTGTAAACTGACCTAAGTCACTTCCTATGTGCTTCATTTTCTACCTGATAAAAAATCCAGAAGACCACGATAGCCTGCTCAGACTCCAGCGTTGGAGACACGAATCTTGCATCACACAGAGCTCGTGAGAAATCCTGTTAGCTTTGCAGACAGCTAATCTGTGGTTGTGTAGAAAAATGCTCACATGCTAAGCTCTGAAATTTAATTCAATATAACAGGGGGAAGTAATGTCTAAAGTAATGTCATTAATTATTGTAAAGACAGATGAAAGGAATGTGACCAAATGTCATCCATGTCCTTCACATCTGCCCCTCTGGAGTGCTTTGAATTTACTCCAAGAGGACAACCGACTAACACATTTGGATTTTACATACACTCTTTTGAGTATTTTCCACATGGTTTTCATTCCTAGTAAACCTCATTTCTAGAACTGACCAAAGTCATGCAAGTTCAAGTCTAGAGAAGGCATTTGGCCCATTGACATCCCATTTGATATTCTCATTAACTAAAGATCACCATTTTCACATGCAACTTTGGAGTTTGAACTCAGGGCCTCCCATTTGCTAGGCAGGTGCTCTACCACTTGAGCCATTCCACCAGCCCTTTGTTGCCTTAGTTGTTTTTTAGATAAGGTCTCCTGTTTTTGCCCAGGGCAGCCTTGGACTGTAATCCTCCTACCTAAGGCCTCCTATGTAGGTGGGATTATAATATGCACTACTATACCCAGCCTATTTGTTGGGATGAGGTCTCATTTTTTTGCCTAGGCTGACAATGAACTGTGACCTCCCTAAGTCTCCCTCCCAAGTAGCTGGGATTACAGGTGTGAGGCGCTGTCCTCAGCTTACAAGTAACTCTTATTCAGGTTCTGGAAGCAGTTTGCAGCATGGAGTTCTGTGGGGTTTCTACCAAGAGGGTGGTTTTCATTTGAAAGATGACGTATTAAGTATACATTCCACTATGTGTGTTTAAAAATAAAAGCTCATAATTACAATTTGAGACTCCTTCACTTTTTAGTGCTTACCAGGGTTTCATTTTTCACCATTGCTTGAAGCCAGTTGAAATCAACACTCTTAAATAAGACAGCGACAAACAAGTCACTGCCATAGTATTCAGTGTCAGACAGAGGCGCGCCCTCCGGGTACGTCATCCTGATGGTGGTCCTATTCCCAACATGTGCAGAATATCCCTCGACTGGTGCACTGTTTAATCTATTCGAGTAAAAAGGAAGAAGACACATCGACAGAGCCGGCCATCACCCATGTTACCACATCACACGGCCTCCTGTGTCATGACCATCTCCTGCAATTCTGTCACTGTTGCGTTTGCATGATCCGCCTGCTAACGGGCTGTCTCCACAGGAATTGCAGAGGAGCTGCTGCTGCTTCCATTTTACAAATGAGGAAATGGAGGCACAGGCACTTAGGGGACTTTCCCCGCATGGCAAAGGTACAGTATGAATACGTGACCGCTTTTAGGATCAAAGGGTCCCAGATGGACTGTCATCACCCCTCAAGAACTGGAGATTTTCCTCCTCACTCCCCCACTTGTGACGCAGTTCCAGTAATGCCTTAAGCCCCCAAAGGAGAAATTTTGGTGTCTCCTGACACAGTTGTCTTCTGCTGTTTTGTCCCCCCACCCACCATCACACAGCAATATTGGGGTTTGAACTCACGGTTGTTAGGCAGGCGCTCTACCATTTAGCCACACCTCCAGCCTGACATTAGTTGTCAAATTACCAAAAACTCTAGTCATACTTTTCCAATATGCCTCTCAGATCAATCTTCTGTCACTGTCTCTGCTTGCTGTGCATCGCCCTAGGCTCACACACTCACGCCCTCCTGTGACACCCCTGGACCCAGGCCCTGTCCCTCCTCGCCTGTTTTCAACCTCTCACCCCTACAACTGCTGGACAAAGTGAGTTAGGACCCAGTTCTCACCATGCCTCTGGCTCTGCACATCCCTAGGACGTTGACAGTTAATTTACAATAGTGTACATTACTCAAAAAAAAAAAAATCCACGTGTCTTGGAGCCAATGGTTCTACTCTGAAGAACTTTTCTAAGGAGATAATCAAAGCTGTCCAAAGAGACACACAAAGCATTTTCACAGTAACAAAGAAAAATGGCAGTGTTCTAAGCAACATAACCACTAAATAACTTAAAATACCCTCATATAAAGGAAGTCTAAGAATATTTAACAACCTCAGAAACTATCCATCATGTTCAGCAAAAAAAAAAAACCAACCTTATAAAAACACAAGTGTGTCTAGAATAAAGTGGAAAAAACAATGTTGGCTATTTGTGCTATGAGTGGTTATTTTCTTCCTCAGATTTTTATGATCTTTAATAATTAATATTATTTTACTTTTATCATTAGAAAAACATTTATTTATTTATTTATTTGGTTGTTTATTTATTTATTTTTGCTGTGGTGGGGACCAAATCCAGAGCTTCATGCATGGTAGGCAAGTACACTTAGCTACACCTTCAGTCTGGAAATGACTATCTACTGCTGTCGAGGTGAGTTCTATCTCTGCTGTGGGCTTTCTACTCCAGCCAGCTTTGCCTTCCAGGGCTCACCAGCCCCCAGCCCAGCTCCTGAAGCCCAGCGATCCCTGGCATCTTTCTCCTACTGTGTTCTCCTGTCACATTGCCTAGTGGCCTTCCTCCTTTGCTGGCTCACCTGAATCTACCCATCCTTCCAGACTTCCCCAGCTCTGAAAGGCTTTGCCAATGACTGTGTTCCATAGCCTGCTCCTTTAAGTTAGGGTCAGTACTACACAGTTTGGGGCATCTGATCACTTCCAGTTTTTGTTCCAGCTTCTCAGAGTTAAGTCCCTTGAGGTCAGAGACCCTGAAGAGCTTCCGGTACCCCTCACTGTCTCTGGAGCTGCACTAACTCAGAGTACTGGACTGAATTCTAGAGAATGGTTGGTTTAAAGCAAGGTACCTTATCACAACATCAAATTGGTTCAGGGCGTGACCCAGTTCTAGTCCGTGCAGAATTCCTCCACTTCCAATAACCACACAGCGCCTACACTGCTTGGCTTGCAAGTGCTCAGGAAAGTCGTGCTCAGGCAGTATATCCAAGAGGGTCTGGACTTTGCTGGAGAACTTCCGGAATCCAAAAGGAGGATCGTATTTGTACTCGGTTTCACTCCCTTTGGGAGCCTTCTGCACGAAGGGCACCAAGTCTGTGCTGTACCTGTGCTCAAATAACAGCGCCATTGCCTTCTTCACGAACTTGGGTCGACATTCCTCCTGCAAGACTTGCTGCGCGTATTTCTGAGCTCTCTGGAATGGAGTCACACCAATATGAGTTTGAAAACCTCTCCGGCATTAGAAACACTCCCATAGATAACATTTTATCCCATGGTGTCTGATGCATCTCTATTGATTATCTTTTAACACAGAAAGTTCACCTTTTAAAGTTAATTTACACTCAGGGACAGAAGAAAACAACCTGGGGACATCACAGGGTGGTTATTCACTGCACAGGTAAAGCAGAAAGATCTCCCACCTCCCACCCCTGGCCTAATATTGTACAAACACATTTGGGATGAAAATGAACCTGGAAGTGTTGAAGACTGCATGTTTCATAAAATTCTGGTCCATGCTACAACATGGGACTTGTCTGAGGACATTATGCCAAGTGAAATAAACCAGTTGCAAAAAGACAAACACTGTACAACTTCACTTATATGAGGTATCTAAAGTTATATTCAAAAAACACAAAGGAGAGTGGTGGGACTGAGGAGAGGGAGGATGAGGACTTGTTTAGGGGTACAGGATTTCAGTTTTCAAGAGGAAAAAGTTTTGGAGGTTGTTTTACAGTGATGTGACTACACTTAACTGCTCATTTAAAAATGGTTAATAAGGTACATTTTATGCTATGTGTTTTTTTTTTTAATCACAATACAAAAAGGCTTCATATTTCAGGTTTTCCTCTAGCAGGATAAGAAGCAGGGTTGTTTGTCAGTTGGGGTAATGAGCACCACACAGTCTGGATGGCAAATTACCTTAAATGTTTTCAGGAGCAATGTCCCCTTAACATAGACATGGTGCTGGTTGCAGATGCATTTTCTCAGTGTGCTAATGGTTTGCATAAGGAAGGAATAGCTGTTGAAAGCCAAGCACACTGGGCTGGCTGAGCACAAGAAGCCTGGAGGAACAGGCTGCAAATGTCTGTTTACCCCATATGCTTCATCTTGCCTCGGTCTGCCCAAAGGCTGCCTCCCTCATCTTGGTGCTTTTGGTTCTCATCTCCATGCTGAGCCTTGGCCCTGTCTTAAACACACCTGCTCCCATCAAACTACCTGTGTGTGCATGTGTGCACAAGTGTGTGGTGTGAAGTCTGACGCTCCCCAGGGCAAGCTCTAGGGACATACCATGTCTTTTGAATTCTGTCGGTATGTTATGAGGATTCTTCTCGTTGTAGAGTTTCAAATGCTTACCCAACTATGTTTCTTCTTAGGGCCATGTTATTATTGTCTGATTTTTTTTTGTTTATTTTTTTTTTGTAAATTCTGTACTAGAATATATTCATTATATGGGGAGGGGAATTCATAGTGACAATTCCAATTATGCTTATATTATACATTAGTCACACGGCCCCCATCCTCTCCCCCTCCGCCCCCTCCCCACCCCACTTCAAGCAATTGCAAGAGGTTTCTTAGTTCTGTTTCATATAGGTTTATGAGGTCCGTCTGCCATATACCATCACCTTAATCTCCTTCATTCACCCTCCCCCCCTCACTAGTGCCCCTCCCCATACACTGTACCTATTTTACAGTCCTGTTTTTCATTATTAATACTTAAGATGATGTTCAAAGGGGTTTCTTAATGTGTCCCCACTGTGGGTATACTTTACTTTGGCCCATCCCCTTCCACTATTCTCCCTTACCCTTTTACCTCCTACCCTTATTGTCTGGTTTTTATAAAATACATTTTTAAGGAATGTATCAACCCCACTATAGCAGAAACACTTAAAAACATTACAGCTCCGAAAAGTCATTAGTGCCTGTGAAGCACACACTGCCTACATCTTGGAGATCCAGCCCATTACTGAAGCAGAGCCTCAGCATCAATGCTACAGACACTGCCATATTCACTGTCACATGACCTCTGTGGACCTTGAGAGACAGTCATTGGTGTCGTCCCTTTGTGAGCTCGAGGTAGCATCACCAGAAGAGGTCTGAGCTGGCAAGCAACTTGGGCTGATCACTTCCCCAGCTCCTGAAGTAACAGCCTCTACCCACAGTAAACAGTACACAAACACCACTATCGAGAACAAGTTTGCAGGTGTAAGGTGTGTTCCTGAGCAATGTGTTAGAAGCCAAGCCAGGACCCTGTCATGACCCCACATCCCTAAATGGAGGTGGCTGCTCTGAACCACATGCTGAGCAGGTGATGCCCTGCGCCTACAGAGCACCTAATGCAATCTGGGAGAGGCAAGCAAAGAGAAAGGCCACACACACCATGCACACTAGTCTCCAGACTCCAACCTGAAGGTCATGAACAGCAACTGTGAGAGCCCCCAAAGGCCCAATTTGTCACTCTAGAGTGACACCCAAGCACCTGGTTTTACAAATCTCCTCTGATATAAAGGAAAGGATGAGAAGTGCCAAAGTGACCCAGGGAAGCTTTACCATCGACTGACTCACAACGGAAGAGAAGGTCACAAGTAAGCAGGAAGTGTGCGCACAGCGCTCGGGTGCTGCCAGATCTTCTCTTTAGAAGTTTCATTTGGAAAGGAGTGAAATTTCATTCCATTCCCATTCTGGCAAAGAGTTCAATTTCAGGCTTCAAATTTAATTTTCTAGACTGTGAGCAGAGCAGACGGCTGGGCAATCATCCTTTAGCTGTAACCCCTTCTGTGCTGACTCCCCGCTGTGGCAGTACATAAACCCTGAGCAACCGAGTGAGCACTCTAAATGCTGCTGGAAACTTCAAGCCACTGCAAATCCTTCCCCTGTTTTGTTTAAAGACATGGGCCTAGCTCAGAGAGCCCCCAGAATATTATCTTCTAATTGGAATCTCGGCCTCTCTCCTTTCTTCATTGCTTGTCTGGGTTTCAAAGCTCAGAAAATAATGCCAAGGAAAGCCTCACCTTAAGGAGGTGGGGTAATAAAAAGAAGCAGAGAGACACCCCCCCACCCCCGCACTGCCCATGCTGTGCCACAGATGCCTCCAAAGTAGTTAAGTGAGGGAGGACTGAACGGGAGGCATCTGTCTGGGGCCTGGTGGCACCAGCCAGGTGAGGTCCCCAGGACACTCTTGCAAGATATTAATACAGTTGTCTCAAGTCCAGGGATGGAAATAAAGGCCTTGGATTTTAACCTCTTCCAGGCTGAGCATACAGGCTGTGCAGAGTTAAGAATACATAGACATCTGGTGGTTCTGATTGTCAGTGATGCAGTGATTGGCCATGGAAAACCACAGTGTGAAAGAGCACTGATGGGATTAAAACCAAAGTGATTTTCCTGACCAAAATCTCCACTTCCATTTCTACTCCCTAAGTTTAAGCACTATACTTCTCAGAAATATGGGCACATGGCCTTATTATTAGAAAGAGACAGTAATAGTTATTATTATTATTATTATTATTATTATTATTTGAATTTCAGGACAGGACAGAATATTTAGGTATAAGGAGAACTTCAGGCCTGGAGTTAACGAAGCATAGGCAAGAGCCCAGCTCTACGACGGCCTGTGTGATTGGGGGTATTGGTTTCCTTATAAAACTTTCCTTTCCACACCTTTAGACTCAGACACTGTAATCTCTCTCCCAGGGTTGCTGAGATGCCTAAGCATTTTGCTTGGTGCCTGGCACATGAGAGGGTATTCATTTAGGTTATCTGTCTACAACATTAATGCAGTTAAAAGCAGGTAAAATTTAAACAACAAGCTTAACAAAACAATACTATAATAAAGCTTCAACCAGTTAGTTATCTGGGGCTGGGGGTTTGAGTAGTAAACTGACTACAAAGGGGCTCAAGGGGACTAACTACAGGGATGGAAATGTCCCCAAACTGAACAGTGGCCACAGTGATGTGCCTGACACTTATCAAAGTATGTGACTCAAAGGACTAAATGCTATTGTGCATCGATTTCATCAACATCAACTGTCAAGAAAAATTCAATCAGAAGACCCCCAAGGTGAGACAGTTTTACATCTACTTAACTAGCAGCATCACCTTGGTGAAAGCACGGGACCCTGGATGGAGGCTTCTAGCCACATTCCAGGTGGTCTAGAAGAGGAAGTGGCCCCAAGGAGAGGAAAGACTGGGTGTAGAGTGCTGCTGCCTCAGCTCACAGCATAGCTCAGTGGGGTGAACCCTGCTCCTTACAAACGTGGTACGTGGAGGTCTGTGGAGCCAGACAGAAAACTATGAGGGCAAAGCCAAGGAAACTGGGCCATAATTAACTACACTGCACAGAATGCAGTCCCGAGGGCAATCTGTGGTCTTTAGCTCTCTGAGCGGAGAGCTGGCCAAGTTCAAATTGCTGCCACCACTCAGTTCAAGCCTAAATTGACACAAATGTGCCCATCTCTCCTCAAATATCTTTTAAGTGCAATTTCACATCTGAACCACACTTTGAATGTGTCCAAGAGTCCCTTCAGAGACTACTGTTGGTCTTGTTAACAACAGGCACATTAAGGGACATTTAAAAATAGAAAATCCAAACCTCACAAGTTTGGTGGCTAGTTTTCCTCTCCTGCAGGACTAAGGTGGGCTGGGTCTGGTCCAGCTGGACATTGCTACAGTCTGACAGGGTGCCACTCGAGCTGCAAGATGCTGAATGTAACCAATGAAGTTAACAGGGCCTGCCCCCCTGGCTCTGAGATGCTCTTCTGCCAGTATGCATCCACAATAATTCACATTTGTCTACATGCTCATGTGGCAAGGATCAGATCTCCACAGACAGCCTGGAGCCAGGGTTTTCTTGGGCAAGAGCTCATTTTGAACTTCATCTTTCAGCCATTCGGTGCTCTAGGACCACAGTGACCATTTTCTCCATTCTGAGGAAGTGAGAGATGGTCTCTGTTCCCAAGTCAGTGGTATAAAACCAAGTACCAAAATGAGCTGCTTAGTGTGGCTTTTGATACCGTTCACTATCTGGCCCTGCCATAATTTTTTGTCTCATGTCCTGTTGTGTCCTATCTCCAAACCCTCAGCAACAGGCAACTCTTGCTATCCCTTTCACCTGCACACACAGAGGCCTGTACTTCCACACACACACCAGAAGGAAGGGGACATTCTGTCAGGACCTTTCTGAAAAGTAGGGCATTT